ATATATATATATATATATATATATAAATAAATACTTAATTACACACATTTGAGTAGATGTAATAAAATACTTTAATTCCTGTTTAAATGCAAATCATCCTGCCATACCTGCAGTGTCTTCAGACTTTGCCAGCAAATTAAAAGTTGAAGCTTAATCATTAAATTATTATCTTTGTGTTAGATTTATTTATAAATCACATTTAAACACTGCTTGTTCCAATTAAATTAAATAAAAAGTTACACACATGTTCTCCATCGTCATTAATCAGAAAACAAACAAACAAACAAACAAACAAACAGCTTCATCTTCCACAGACTGACGTTACGTTTTCTCTCTTGAAACAGAACAAGTGTTAAATTGTAGAGACTCACCTGCAACACGAGTTGGGAGTGAAACATGTTGTATCAGCTGCAGCTCCTTCCTCCTCCTCGTGACTCCCACATGTTTACGTTTCATCTCCGTGGTTCTCTCGTGTCGTGTCGGTGATTTTCAAAGCTGCATGTTTCTCATTTTTTATCTTTGTGAAGTTCTCCCACACTTTGGAGGACTTGTGTGGAACAGTTTTCGCTGCGTCGGTCATTTGTAAAAGTTACTTATTTTCCTTTAAAAACAGACTCTGCTCTGCTCCCCCCTCGCTCTGTTCAACTCGCGTTGCAGTTTAAAAAAAAAAAAACTTTATTCACTCAGTCAGCATTGACAATGAACTGCCCTTGAACAAAACAAAACGGCTCCGCAGCGCCGTGAAAGACGCATAATCGCTCAATACAACGAATCGATAACGAAATTCGTTGCCAACGCTTTTAATCATCGATTTTTATCGATTTTTATCGATTCGTTGTTGCAGCCCTAATGAAGGGTACACAACATCTGAATTCCTGGACATTTCAGCGTTAAACTTTTTTTTCAGATCCATTTGTTAACTAAATTCTGAAAGTTGCAATATCCTTTGTAAAAACTAAAAACATGTTCTATTAAGTTTTGGCCCACTTAATTAACCTCATTAAGCTAGCTGTGCTGACAGGCTGCAGAGTTTTCACCATGAGTGTTTCTGTCTTGTCCAACAAAGTCAGGTCCTCCGGACAGTTTCTACTTCAGAGACCATCCAGAGGACCTGATTTAACTTTGCCGGATTTTTCTACCTGGATTATTGAGCATGAATCAGGATGTTTCTGTTTTATCTGCTCCATTACAAACAAATAATAAACAATAATTTACTGCGCTTTGCTGCATCAGCACCAGTGCTTTTCTATTTTTCATCATCTGTCTCTCTTGCTCCAGTCTACAAGCTTTAAGACCCAAACAGGAGAAACGATGGACGTACAGAAACCTGCGCTCCGTGCACCAGCATATAACCCTCGAGAGCGAGTGCCAGTCCACAGCGGCGGGCGTGTGTCTCTGCTCAGTCTGCGGACAGACAGCCTCAGAGGGAGAGAGGAGGGGCGGGGGAGTCTCAGTGAGACCTGAGTGAGCCCGGTACAAGAGCAGCTTGTTTATTTAAAATAATCAAGCGTGACCCCAACTGAACCTTTAGTCCAGTCCTTCAACGGGCACTGGACAGGGCCAGGCCACCGGGAAATGTCCTGGCACTCCTGACGGCCAGTCCACCCCTGTGTTAGGCTGATTGGTAACTCTAAATTGTCCCTAGGTGAGAGTGAGAGAGTGAATGGTTGTTGGACTCCTTTTTGTGTATGTGTCCCTGTGATGGACTGAGACCTGTCCAGGTGTCCCCCACCTTTTGCACAGTCACTGCTGCATATGGGCACCAGTGACCTCCGTGACCCGAACTGGAAGAAGTGGATTAATGATAATGGATGGATGTGTATCTCTTGTAAAGTGTGCTTAGACTTTCTGTCCAACACTTTTAATCTGCTGTTTTATCTGATATAATCTGATAAGGCAACCTTTAAAAGCTTTGTGATGTAGGTTTGTTCTTTCTTACAGGTGGAAGCGATAGAGAAGCGTTGTCTGGAGCTGTTTGCCAAAGATTACAAGTACAGCATCATTTATAACTCAAACGGAGAAGTGTGTGGCCACTACCCTCGTCAGATCGTGTTCCTGGAATATGAATGTACAGATGTGGACAGAGACAGGTACTTCCTCACTACTCGGTCCATTTAATCATTTTCTGGAGCAAAGTCCAGCCCGTACAGTTAGAAGCTACTTTTATGTTTGTCTACCTGGATTATTGAGCATGCATCAGAATACTTTTATGTTTGTTTTTGTCTCTAACGTTGCTGTCACACGGAGGGCAGATGTCAGCCTACATGTCTGTCTCCTCTTGGCTCAAGAGTTCAGAATGAAACTAAAACAGGAGCAGTTCCTTCACAGCCGATTAGTGCTACTGGGAAAGAGGATGATATTCTTAACAAACGTATCCTCTATGAAATAGAAAGACTGAGGTTGTTGTGTGCACACAAAAACGGACTTATTTCTGTCTTGTATCCTTACAAAATCATCTATTGTTAGTTTCCAAAACAAACAACACTGAAGTGTAAATGTGGTTCACTGAAAGTAGGCTTTGGTTTGTACTGTGCATGTTTGTAAGATGTGAAGTTATAAACAGTTACTGGGATGTCAGGAAGGTTCAGATCAGAGTTTAAATTCAATTCAATTCAAAAATACTTTATTAATCCCAGAGGGAAATTATTAGTTGTAGTAACTCGTTATCCTCATTTCATTAAGAGATGTTATAGATGCTGATGCTGTAGACAGGAAGGATCTCTTGTAAAGGTCCATCCCACAGTGGATCCTAAGAAACTGGCTGCAGATGCCGTCCGATCCGTCCACCCAGACTCAGCTGGCCTCTCAGTTCCCCTGGGCTGTAGGACCACCTGAATGCTGGGCAGAACTTCTTCCAGAGCGATGGCCACTCCTCCCAGCAGTCTGCCGAGCTCCTCGTCACTGCGGACAGCCAACTGTAGGTACAGAGGGACGATCCTGTCCTTCTGCTGTCATGAGCCGTGTTTCCTGCTAGTTCCAGGATCTCAGTGGTCAGACACTCGAGCACAGCTGGCAGGTAGATGAGAATGCATCCACAGAACATCCTTTTCAACTCATCTGAGATTTGGGGCTGTAGTTGAGATATTATTTCAGCTTTTGAGATGTTAATCAGCTGCTGCTGGTTGTAGAAAACTGCCTTGTTGCCATGGTTACGCATCATAACAACTGTCCAAAACTAAAAAAGTTTCAGTAAAAATCCTTCCAGCTGCACAGCATCTGATACCAGAGGAAACAATCATCCAAAAAATGTGATTTACATCCAGAAAAAGAGGAATTAAAGTTTCTAAAAGCAAAATCTCAGAATGAAAGTAACAGAGCTGCTCCAACATGCAGACACCTGGAGCGGTGCAACTCTAGAACCCAAAAATCCCAACATGAGTTGATTCCAGGCAGGACGACATAGTCAGGCTAGAGTCCTGCAGGTTTAAACTACATCAGGATTCAGTACATCTACTGTGGCCCTTATGCATTGTAAGGCCCAGCCTGACCAGGACTAGCCCGAGTCAGGTTCCACCCTGGGTTTGGAGCATTAGTAACTGGCAGTTTGGCCCAGTTCCAGCTTGATTTTTAGGACTCAGCACCCTGGGACTCTAATTGGGCTGGCCTGGTGTTACAGATTTGGCAACAGCAGACTGGTGGCCATTGATTGTTTCATTGGGTCACGTCACACAAGTCTACTTCCAGCGTCTGCTCCTTCCCCCTCTTTCCTTCAGCCGCTGGCTTCTGGCAGGTTGTGCGATAGAGAGAGCTCTTATTTATTCATTCAACCTTTATTTCTACAGGTAAATCCCATTGAGCCTCGAGGACTCATTTACAAGAGAGACCTGATTTCAACAAAGAAAGATGACAACAATGGACAACAGCGACAACAATTAACAGTTATAAAAAGTCATACTCCAGGATTTTTTTTTTTTTTTTACAAATAGGATGGCTAAAATAAAAAGGTAACAAAAAACAGCTAGATTCTAAGGCGAATGTAGAAACTAAAAACAGGAACATGTCTGCTCTGGTCACTGCCAGGAGTCCAACAGATTCTTAAAGCCACTTAGAGAGGTCAAGGTCGAGAGCTTCAATTCAAGCTTTCAAGGACATTTCAAGGACAATTCAAAGACGTTCGAGCTCTTATTTATCTTTAGAATAAATGGCAACGCAAAACGTAGCAGCAGTGCCCTGGAAAAACGACGAGATGCAGTCGTTGTTGAGCTGAGATTCATGCGGTCTTTCTATGATGATCCCGCTCACATGGAGTCGGCACTCTGCTGAAAGCAAATAAAACGAGAGCCAGGGAGGACTGGGGCTGGGCCGACTGTGGCCGGTCCAGGATGGACCGAGCTTTAAAATAATAATAATAATAATAATAATGTGTATGTATTGTCATCATTGTATGTTCCCATACAATGGTGAAATTGGCTCTCTGCATTTAACCCATCCACCACCAGGTGGAGCAGTGGGCAAACTTTGGAGGTGCCCGGGGAGCAACTGGGGATAAGGTGTCCTGCTCAGAGACACCGCGAGATGTGCAATGACCGGGGATTGAACCCGGGACCTTCGGGTCCCGAGTCGGCTGCCCTGTCCCTAGACCATATTACAATACACAAGAGGCATTAGATTATCAGTGGGGCACCCATTAATGGGAACAAAGATTTATATTGGGATGTTTCTGTTTAGTGTATGAGGTGAAACCTTTTCAGCTCATCAAACTGCTACAACGTTCTGCCAATACATCCAGAAGTTTTCTGCAGATTCCTAGCATTTCAAAGTAAAGGACAACATGGATTAACAGCAAAGTCACACTTCCAAACAGCTGCTCCTGGTTACTTCTTTTATCAAGTACACGCCTCACTTTGTCTTGTTTCTGAGTGGCACCATCCTGGAGACACCCATCTTTTCTCTGCTTGGACTTCCTGTCTGTTAAGGTGGTGTCTCACTGCTCTACAACAGTTAGCAATTACTGTAGTTGGTGAATGGTGTTCCTGGGGAAATCTCCAAAAAGATGTTTGCAAGGGTTTTCAATTTAGAATCTGAATCGACTTTATTGTCATTGCACCGAAGTACAACGAAATTACATTTCAGTACAGCCCGTCCAATATAAACATAAACGAACAGACATAGGGGAGACAGAGGCGTCGGAGGCTGCAACCCCGTGGGAGGCACTGCCTTTTTCATTTAGATAGGAAAAGAGAAACACAGGGGGAAGGGGAGGTATATAAAAAAAACATATCTCACACTGTGTCCTAGACGGGACATAGTGTGAAAGTTTCAAAACAATCCTCAGCACAAAAACGGCAACATACTGATGACATCATGATCATGATGATGGATTTACGTACGAGTCACGTGAGGCTTGCTGTTTTGACACTTTATTTTCAACATGCCACATATTTTCCAGTAGATTTTGGCGGCTGCCCTGATGTGTACAAAATGGTCTGAGGCTGGTGTGATGTGGGCAAGAAAAGAATGTGCACGAGTACTGGTAGGTGTACATTTTTGCAAGTAGAGCACAAAAAAAGACATTGCAATTTTCACAAACTGACTGTGTAAAATGCACTGGCATGATTATCTGGGCCAGTCTTTCCCCTAGATCAGTTCTCTTGGCGAGGCACTTGTCATATTTTATTTTTTGTCGACGGGGGTGGGGAGAGCAGAGCGGTACATCAATATCATTTTTGCTAGCTTGTTTGTACTGCATCCCGCGCTTCATCAATACCGACAGTTGTGGACGGGGGGTGGGGGGTGTTGGTAGGCAGGGTGCTCAGTTCTGTTGACGGGGATGGGCACAAACACTGGTCATTTGACCTCAAACAATCAGTTCACTGACATTGTAACAACAACAAAAATCACCTGTTTCCTCACAATTTCAACCAACAAAACGCTGGTTACGTACTGTAACCCCAGATTTTGAGTATAGGCATAGCCCTTTAAGGCTGTCGCTTAGTGGGTTTATCCTGTCATGCAAAGCATCGCACTGAAAAATTTAGTCCACGCCCACATGTTGTGTGGGCCCCACCCGGTCTGTATAAATTACGTTAAGAGCGGGTAATCGGCTCCCAAATAGCTTTTTATTCAGCCATTTAGGAGCCAGTGAGGCCCGACGCTTAAAGGGCTACGCCTATACTCATAGAATCTGGGGTTACAGTACGTAACCAACGTTCTATTTCGTATAGGCTTCGCCCTTTAAGAGCTGTCGCTTAGTGGGTTAAGGGCGAAGCAGATGTGGTCCTCGCCTCACTGGGTCCATTCGAACACCGTACGAAGCGGCAGCTTGCCCAAAAAACGTCTTGTCACTCAGCTCTCCATGTGCGTAATTACACGTTGCGTAATTATGCGTACCATGCACAGACGCATGCGGTGTAGTTATGCGTTCTGAGTGCATGAACGCCCCGGAAAACTTTCAACGGGGAAAGGAAGATGCTGAAAAAAGGTCATGAACCAAACAGATTCACGGCTGATCAATATGAACAGATTAATAATAACAAGTGAACTATTATTAATCAAATGCACTGATTGGTAACAATAGTCATGAACTGATTAGTGACAATATAACCAAATAACAGTCATAACTTGTGGCTGATAACAACATCTCACACTGTAAATGCATGCCGACAGATGTGAGTAAAACGGAGTTCCATGAAACAACAATATTCATTCTGTTAAAACACTAAGGACAGAATGTGCCATGGAATGAGCCATCACATCACGTAGACAAAAGCGAATAAATGAGCAGGGTGTTGACCACACGGCCGCAGTGCAAATATCCTGCATTGTCATACCATTATGCAAGGCAGTCGAAGATGCGATACCTCTGGTCGAGTGCGCCCTGAGGTTGACAGGAGGCTCTAAATCTGATGCTCTGTAGGCTTCAGAAATGGCCTCACACAGCCAGTGTGACAAGGGCTGGGTGGATAACGGGCGACCTGCAGATGCATCTCTATAAACACACAAACAAATATTGAGTTTGACGCATTGCGGCTGTGCGCGCTATGTAACACGTCAACGCCCGCACTGGACAGAGAAGATGGAAAGATGCTTCTTCTTCTGATTTGTGGGGGGGAGGGAAAAACCCCTCCAACGATATTGCTCTTGATTTAAA